GGACCCAAGTGGAAAAATCATGGAAATTCCAGGGGGTGGGGGAGTACTGTGAAGCCCCCTGGAACGGAAAATCCTGGGGGGTGGGGGGTCAACCTAGAAAAACCCTCCGTGGGGGGTATGGATATTTTCTGGAACCACACATTGTACCTAAATAAGATAATTACCTTTTTATTTACATTTTGTTTCTTCAAATTTCAATCAATAAGTTTCAACAATAAGCAAGTTTTGGTCTTAAATAATGCCCTATTCCCTCCTTAGGCCTTCTCACGCCACGTGGCATATAAGCCACCCATGAGGTCCCTCCAATGTTCCCTGTCCTGGGTGGTCTTTGCAGCCCTATGACTAACCTAATTCTATCCTGATATTTGGGTGGGGGGAGTATTTCCTCTGGACACCGATTAACTTGAGTCAATGTTAACCTCATCAGAATCTTTGACTGTTCAAGATTACCTCAGTTCCACTCAATTTCCATGGGTTACATCATAATCATCATGTATGGAGTAAAATCTTTTATTCAATTAGTGATGAAGAAAGTACATATAAGGAGAAAATGCTTCTCTTCTCAAAAAAAAAAACACACAATCTCTTTATTGTGATGCAGCACACAAACCTGACCAAATAGTTCTTAAGTTCACCACAATAATTTATCACTAACAGCTCTGCAGACCTGCAAAGAAGGACATTCAGTTTAGTGAAAATTACTAATTTATTATCAGACACCAGTCATATATCAATGTCAGAAAAATAACGATATCACTGACAGGTTCAAAAAATTTTAAATCACAACACAAAAAAATAAATTAATGTCAATTAACGTTAATCATCTTCTTACCACTGTGAGCTATATTTATGCTCAATAAAAACCAATCCAGCTATGCAGTCACTGAGATCTGAAGGAATAGTTCCCACAGTCTAGATTGAAATGATAAAAACAGCATCTATAGTTAGTGCCTCAAACAAGCTCTACTTAAAAGCATCCATTTATTTTAATTAAAATCATGTCTTGACATTTTGTAACTTACCTGAGAAATTGTAAAGAGTAGCTCTCCAGCAAGGTCAAACACTACTATGTCACCAGAGCTAGTTGAAGAAAATTAAATAGAAATTAAAATATTGATGATGTTCTAACAGCCTTGCAAACATGTAAGTAAGCAAACTGGTCAACCCAATACATTACAAACCTGTAAGAACAAGCCAACATAGAACAGTCCTGACTCCAAGCCAACTTCCTCCATTGTGGAGAGTTGTCATCATCAACTGAAACCAAAAGATCAAGGAAAAATGCATTTACCAAGTGTTTCCAGAGAGTAACATCTGCTGGATTAAACAGCACAACCCAAGTTAATGACTGGTTTAACAACTCAATACTCTTGCATGCTGTAATTCAAAAGACAGGTAGCATTGACATAATATCTAGTCAAAAAGTATGGAAAAGCTTCGACAAAAGGGATCCTTAACATGTTTAACATTTCCTGAATTCTCCATCAATAAAGGGCTGCTGTATGTACATCTGATGGCAAGCTTTTAGAAATACAATCATTCTTTGTAAAGGAAGGCATTCATTCAAAGTTTATAATTTTCCTATCACAAGATTAGAGTTAGTTATGACAATGTTCCATGTCACGGTTTGTACTCAAGATTATTAACATATGTGTTTGTTACTGGCACTAATTATCTCTTAGCATAGAAGAATAATGTCAGATGTGCTTGCAACAAAATGGTCAAGTCAAAATGGTGCACCTACCAACACATTTTGCAACCACTGATTCAAAGTCGTCTATGAATGATCTACATAAGAAAACAATAAATTGGTAAATGTGGTAGATGACATATCAAACAGATAAGAAACTACTGTAGGTAAAAAAATTGCTTTCTTCTAACACTCAAGAATGCTTTTTACCACATTCCAAACACCTCAAAGTTTGTGACAAATACTCCACTGAACATTATATTTTCAACTCTCTTCTCTGTGTTTGGAAATTGTGTGGTTCCAGAAAATATCCATACCCTCCCCCCCCCCCCCCCCCCCCCCCCCC